TTGTTTGCAATGCTGGGATTGAACCCAGGATCTTGTGCTGCTAAGAAAGCCCTAACATTTGAGATCTCTCTCTCTCTCTCTGTCTCTCTGTCTCTCTGTCTCTCTGTCTCTCTGTCTCTCTCTCTCTCTCTCTCTCTCTCTCTCTCTCTCTCTCTCTCACACACACACACACACACACACACACACACACACACAGAACCTCTTTAGTCACAATAATTTCTCAAGAAAATTCCAGCCACTAGAAGGCTATGTTCCAAATCTTCCACAATGTGCGCAGAAAAGGAGGGCTTGGTTCCATCATCCACATACTCTTGGCCAGATTGCATAGCCTGTCAGTGTGCTCCAGAGCCAATTGTTTATTTCTACCTAGGAATGCACATTAGCAGCGATGGCACTCCCAGCTCCCTCCCAGGGATGTGTCAAAGTGACCCACATAAATAGACACAGGGAATTCGAGTCTCCAAAGGCTGCGTCCTTCAAATCTGGCTATAACCACACAGAGATCTCCTTCCCTCTTGTGCCTCTACTCTACCCTAAGGATCCTTGACTTAGCTGACACAGGTTCTCTTTCTAAAGCAAGCTGTCCTCACTTAGGAGGAAGATGGCTGTATATAGGTACTTGTCCAGAGTTGAGGCACTCTCGATTTTTATATGTACCCTCCCGAACTTGTAATAGATCTAGTCTGTGTTGTGAGTTTCTGAGTCCAAGACCCCAACTAGATGAAAATTGAGCTTCAAGAAAGACATGGCTGTGCAACTTGTAATCCCACTACTCAGAAATCTGAGACAGAGGGTCTCAAGTTCAAGGTCAGCCTGGGCTACATAGTGAAACCTTACCAGAAGAAAGAAGAAAGAAGGAGGAGGAGAAAGAGGAGGAGGAAAGGGGAGGAGGGAGAGGAGGAAGAGGAAGAAGAGAAGGAGGAGGAGGGAAGAAAGAAAGGAAGAAAGAAGAAAAGAAAGAATGAAAGAAAGAAAGAAAGGAAGGAAGGAAGGAAGGAAGGAAGGAGAGAGGGGGAGGGAGGGGGAGGGAGCGAAGGAAGGAAAGGAAGGAAGGAAGGAAGGAAGGGAGGGAGCAAGGGGGGAGGGAGGGAGGGAGGGAAGGAAGGAAGGAAGAAAGGAAGGAAGAAAGGAAAGAAAGAAAGAGAGAGAGAAAGGAAGGAAGGAAGGAAGGAAGGAAGGAAGGAAGGAAGGAAGAAAGTCATACATGACTGCACTGACGGCTATCAGCCAAGAAGGAGTTGATAAAGTTAGTGGTGACTGTATTGACTTTTGCAGGAAGACTCAAGTGACAAATCCCAAAAGTAGGAAAGGACATGCTGTCTCAGATGCATCTGCCTGAGCAGGTCTTGGTAACTAGTTGGCACCATATGACTTATCAATCCAGATAACTGATCCTTCATGCTGAAATCTACTGCACGTCAGGGCTGGGAGACATCCAGTGGTAGTCAGTTTGAATCATGGCACTTCTGAATGCAGACAAATATCTACAACTAGGACATCATTAGGAGCCATTACAGGGCACCGTTCAACAATTTAACTGCTGCATATGATATCCATGGTTTCTTTGCTGACATTACCAAATGAGCGCCGTCTCTTCATGATCCATCATTAGTATCATTATCACTGTCACAAAGATCATCTAATTCGCTTACGCTGCATTTCTTGCTATAGAATCTAGATAATATTCCTCAGGCTGTCTCTACTACCAGACTTGTGTGGTGCTCGCCCACAAGAACTCAGACCACCGTGTAGTAATGCAGCGCTCCGTTCCTTCTCTGTGTCCTCTACGGAACTGAGAGCTCCTTAACAAGAATTTCATCCTCGATTTTCCATGTGCTTGGGACCTATTATATGGTGTCCAATACATGTGTGTAGAGAGTAAGTGTTAGAAGTAGTGATTGCAAAACAGAGAAGCAGAACAACCTGAAAAGACTGAAGTCCACTAATTACAAAAATAACTGTACTAACGATCATGTAAGCTCACGTGGATTGAGTGGTCCAGGCTAGATAGGGAGCCGTGGGCTTTGGATGCCCTATACCCTGGAATCATCTGAACATTCCCTACCTCCTAGGGGATGCACTATGACTTCATAGGTGAGGAAGACGAGGGTTGTGGAGTAAGCTAACAGCAACTCACGTGACAATGGTAGACTTAGAGTTTTAACCCTGATTGTAGATGCAGGTTGTAGCCATTAAATGAATGCTACTTACTGAAAGGTAAAGTGGAAACTAGAATAACAATCAACAGGACATCCCCAGAGCCAATCACATCAAGTGAAATGTCACATAAAGACATTAGGCTCGTCTAAATTTTAACTAGCCGAGGAATCCAAGAGAAGAACCCAAGAGAACTAGCCATGCCCACAAGGTGGTTTCAAAGCCGTGGAAACCGTACCTGCTTTTCTCCCCGACTCCCCTTCCCACTGGGAGGTAGAAAGAGTATGGATTCTTACAAAACATGGGGTCAGAAAGAGCAGCACAGGTGAGTTCTGCCTCCCCCAAGCTGGCTTCACCTCTCTCAGGATGGATTTAAGCAGCCGAGCCCAGGATTGCATTTGTCAACACTGTGTGAGCTGCTGCTCCAGCTACTCCTCTTCACTTCCCCATAGAGATCTGAGCAGGAGGAGAGGAAAAGGCAGAACAGAGTAGCGACCATCTCAGCAGGTGACTGGGGCCAGAGGAAAGGGGTGCAGCAGGAACTCGCTGAACACAAGCTTCACAAGGTTTGTGGGCAAGTACACACCAGAGATCCTCAGATGCAGTCAAACACGGCAACCCTGCTGGCTAAGCCAAGGATAGGGCTTCTGTGAAGGCCCAGGGAGAGAGTCAGCAATCCCCCAGAACAGGGAAGCTCATCAATGAACCCGTGGAGTGTGAGAAGTGTATCTGTTGAATGGATTCTTTTATTCACTCATTAATCGTGTACGGGTATATATGGATACACTCTGTGTATCCGAAAGATGGAAAATCCTAGGAGGAATTCCCTCTGGGAATCTCTTCTAAGATACAGGTTCATAGAATGCCAACAGCAGTATAACGTGAGCGGATGTGCGGGGTTCAGGAGGAAATGGCCTGCTCTGCCTTGGCTGGAAGAGGTAGAAAGTGAGTCAAGGTGGGCTTCAGAAGCAAGTTGGACACTAAGAAATGAATGGGAATTACCCAGGGGAAGCACAGGAGCGGGACCAAGCTGTCCAGGGGCAGCCACAGAAACACTTGGCTCCTAATCGATGAATAATAGGCAATGTGACATTTCATTTGAGATTTGCAAGAAACGCAGCCCAAATTGCACCCAAAAGGAAAGATACAAAGTGGTAAAAGAATGGCCATGATCCAGTCACCTTCAGAGTCTGGACTTTATCCTAGCCAGTGCAACCACTGTCACTAGATTTTTCTTCCAAGGGAAGAAATGACAAGAATCTCTTACAGAGTCTTCCTGGGTAATCAGTACCCCCAAGTACCAATAACAAAAGACCCCAGCTCCTTGTGAACACCTCATTCCCACATGATCTTCTTGCATGCAGAGCCAAAGGAATCATTTTGGCCATGTTGTGCTGGCCAGCAAAACAAGGTCTTGTGGCCTCGATGTGGTTAAAACCCTCATAGACTGAGCAGCTATATTGGGATCTTCAGAAGATGTCGAGAACTGTGTACCTTTTCCTGCTCAGTGGGCTCAGCTTGGGAATTAGCTGGGAAGTTTCAAAAGAAAACGCCACTACCCGGGGCCTCTCGGGGATTCTGCTTCTAACTATTAGAGACAGAGCTGCGCAGGCTTTGTTTGTAAGCTTCCAAGGGACCCCTGGGCAGCTAGGATGGAGGGTCCTTGCAGAGAGAACAGCCCAGCAATCAGAATACTATCGAATGCAGTCCATCTCTTTTGCCAGGATTCTGAATCCCTTTGCAAACTCAGCATCCTGTGGCCACTACAGAGCCCTCGGCCCTCCTGTCACTGCCCTCAGCCTAAGTCTTTTTCACAGATACCAAAAAGCTCTATTGGAAGGCCAGCTTGTAAGACAGCTGGAGCTTAGGGTCATCACACCTACTCCAGCACCTGAGGGCACCGATCCCCCTCAGGAACCACACTATGCAGGAGTAGACAGCTTTACCAAAGTCCTCCCCCCGACCCTTGCAGAGGGAGGGGTCCTGCATTTACCTGGAAACTCCACGCAGGCCTCATTCGAACAGTACTTACACTTACCCAGTCCCATATATCCTCCTCACCTCCACATCCCCACCCCCAATTTGCCCCTGTAGTCACTGCCTTTAGGTTTTGTTCCCTGTGCCCTGCAAAAGCACCTTTTTTTGGGGGGGGGGGCAACTGTAAAGGATGCTAGAAACAAAGCAAGTAGCTGTGAGTTCTGTGGTTCCTGGACCTATTACCCATCCCTCCCCTTCCTTCCTGATGAAATCTGCTCCATCAGGAGCAAGAGTACTGAGTGACAAGCACTCCACTTCCCAAGGCCCTACTGCCCCTGCCTGTTCCTCCCACAGTCAGACAGCAAATCGTTAGCCCCAAACCCTTCAGCGGCTTCTCACAGCCATTAGCATGTGCCCTGGTGTTAATTCCCGATCGATCCATAGCCTGCCTGTGCTGTCATAGCACATTTTCGAAAGGAACCTCGTCTGGGGGAGCCCAAGACGGCTCTCAGCAGGCATCCTCGGGACATCAAATGCCCCTTGCCATTTTTAAGGGGACAAAGCAGATAGCTGCAGCCACCACTTCCAGCCAGATGACAGGTTGGGGACACAGGTCGACCTGCCTCCCCTCTGGAGTGGGGGCTCTCTGTACAATTCACCAAGCTCTCATTTGTCACCTTGGCATTTTGGAATTTGGTGTTTGTTGTTGCTGCTGCTGTTTGGTTGTTTTTGTTTTTGTTTTCAAATTAGAGATGGCTGCATTTTTCTTCCATCCCAAGCCCTCATTCGAACCAGTCTTCTTGTTGTTGTTGTTTGTTAATCAAGTAGCCACGATTCTCACTCCTGCCCTGTATTGCTTCCTCCAGCTCCCTGCGGACAGAATGAGACCCGAGAAGACGGCAAGATCATCCAGCTGCCGCCCTGCAAGACAGGGGCATGGATCGTGCCAGCCATCATGGCCTGCTACCTCTTAGTGGCTAACATCCTACTGGTCAACCTCCTTATCGCTGTCTTTAAGTGAGCCTCCCCTGCTTCCAGGGATGCGGGCAGTTGGGGGAGTCAGGTGGAGGGAACCCATGCTTCGGACGGCAGTGCATGTAGTCACTTACCTCTCTCTGGCTTATTTCAGCAACACATTTTTTGAGGTGAAGTCGATATCCAACCAAGTGTGGAAATTTCAGCGGTATCAGCTCATCATGACCTTCCACGAGAGGCCGGTCCTGCCTCCACCGCTGATCATCTTCAGTCACATGACCATGATATTCCAGCACCTGTGCTGCCGATGGAGGAAACACGAGAGTGACCCAGATGAAAGGGACTATGGCCTAAGTAAGCTGCAAGTGACACCCCTCTCCCCACCCCCCCGCAGTCAGAAATCAGCGCTTCCTGTAGGCAAGCTTGTGGAATCATGGGTCCACCGCCACCCTTGCTTTCTGCAGATTTCACACAGGCTCTGACAATCTAGAGGGGACATGGGGCATGGGACAAGGGCTGGAAGGAAGCCAGTTGCTGAAAGAAGCTGAAACTTGAGCATTATGAGCCTCACACCCTTCCTAGTGACTAAAGAGCAGTCATCAACCGGGCACCAGTGGCTCACGCCTGTCATCCTAGCGAATCAGGAGGCTGAGATCTGAGGATCGAGGTTCACAGCTAGCCAGAACAGGAAAGTATATGAGACTCTTCAATTAATCACCAAAAGAAAAGAAAGGAAAAGAAAACAAGAAAGTGGAGCTAGGGCTCATGTGGTAGAGTACCAGCATGGAGCACAAAAGCTGAGGGAGAGTGTCCAGGCCTTGAGTTCAAGCCCCAGTTCCAGCACAAAAGCAAAATTTAAAAGAAAAAAATCACCAGAGGATTTTTTTTTACCCTTTTCCAGTTCCTAAGCTTCTTCCCTTTCAGAGATCCCATCACCCAAATCCATCAATCATGTTGACACAGCCCACTGCGGGTCATCTTTAGGCACTGTGGCATGAACTGAGTTTCAATGATTGTCTGATTTTTCCATGTCCATTGTGATCGTTTCTCTCAAGTCTTAAAACATTTTCCTCAGCCTCAGGGGCTGTGATTTTTTTGTACTCCTAAAGAAACCAGTCTTGCTTTACTATTTTTCAAAGGAGAAAACTGAAGACTTTCTCCCCACCCACCTTCTAGCTCAGTATTTCTAAGAGGAAGTTTCAAAGCCATTGGGGTAGAACGGGCCCCTCACCGTGTGAGACGGTGCCACTCATGGCAGGAGATTTGCCATCTCCGCCTCCACACACTAAGTACCAGTTGCTCCTGCAGATTTCTAAACACTTCTTGGGCACCAATTCTCATTAGGAACCACTGGGGATCCAGCCCTACACTGACAAGCTACTGTGGTTATCCGAATGTGTTGAGTTGCCTCCTACATTAAGTCTATGAACAAGAGCCTGGATTTGTAGCCCAGGAATCTACATCCCCCTATGGGATGCCAGTATATCTAAGGCATAAAACCAAAGCCTTTAATCAGCTGTTTCTCTGAGCCTGAAGTTCCCAGCTATCTCCCTGAATGGCCATGGCCAATCGCTCTCTACCCATTCACCTCAAAGACTCGGAAAGCACTCAAAATTCCAAAATTTCAGATGGGAATCTGAAATACAAAATGAGGCACACGGAAAGCTGGAGGGAGATGGGTGGGGGTGGGATTTCCTGTGGTCTAGGCCTTAAGCCCTGACTTCTCGGCCAGCAGAGGTAGAACCCACACTATCCAACGGAAGCAGAAAGAGAGCTCTGTAATGAATGACATCATGCTGAATTGTTAACTCAGGGGCCAGAACCATTTACAATGAAGCTTGCTTATTCAGACAGCTTAGGAAGAAGGAGCGTTCAGGGCCCACTTCACAGGTGGGAATGGGACATAGTGTACTTCTTACTATCACCCACAGTCGCATTAAAAGTATTTCCAGGTCTCTGGATACATGGCAAGGAGGGGCCAAGTGTCAGATTTCCCAGAGAAATCTGTGACTGGGCGGGAACTGGTGAAGCACAAGGAGGGGGGACCTTGAATTGTTATTTATACATCAGAGAAAAGGGAGCTTGTCACCATCTGGGACTTGTGCATGAAGGAGTACTTCAGAGAAAAGGACGATCGGTTCAACTTGTCCTACTAATTAAAACATCCCAGGACATTGCCAAGTCCTGGCAGAGCCTCAGTAAACAAGTCCTTTGAAGTGTAAGATTAAAATTGCATTGTAAAATGTGACACATTGATGGGTCTTTTAAATTTGTAGATAGATAGATAGATAGATAGATAGATAGATAGATAGATAGATAGATAGATAGATAGATAGATAGATAGATAGATAGATAGATTTTAATGTCAATACTCAGGCTCTAACTTAGTGTCTGCTGGTGCTCTACCACTTGAGCTACAGCTCTACTTCTGGCTTTTTGGTAATTAATTCAAGATAAGAGTCTCATGGGCTTTTCTACCCCAGGTTGGCATTAAACCACCATACTTGAATTTCAGCTTCCTCTAAGTACCTAGGATTATAGGCATGCACCGTTGGCACCCACTAAAATATTTTTTTAAAGAACGTTACATATAACCAAAGAAGTAAAATGGAGCATTTGCTTAAGATGCCATCAGATAAAGGCTTCAGCATACTGTTTTGGATCTCTGTTGCTCTACTAGATCAAGGCAGAAAGGAGATTGCTCTCTTTGGTCTTTGTGGGGGGAGGGGGTCTGTACATTCTCTCATTTCCTCTCTCCTCTCTCTCCTTTTTCTTCTCTCCCGTCTCTCCTCCCTTTCTTCTCTCCTCCCTTTCTTCTCTCCTCTCTCTTCTCTCCTGTCTCTTCTCTCTTCTCTCCCCTCTCCTGTCTCTCTCCTCTCTCCTTTCACCTCTCTGTCTTCTCTCTCCTCTCTGTCTTCTCTCTCTCCTCTCTCTCCTTCTCTCTCCTTTCTCTCTGCTCTCTCCCCTCTCCTCTCTTCTTTCTTTCCTTCTTCCCCTCCCCCCTCTCCCCCCTCTATCTCCTCTTTTATTCCTCTCCCTGAAGCCAAAGGCTTTATGTAATTTCCTGACTCAGTGTCACCCATGCTCTACTGATAAGGATTTTCCTCACTTCAAGAACCTGCCATATTTGAAAAAAGTGATTAGACTTCTGGCAACTTCTGGCATTTTCTTTACCCTCATCTGCTTTCACAGTCATATCTATACCATGCTTCCAGCAAGTTAAGATACTGATACCATGACACCACAGAACTAGTGAAAGCAATCTCAGAAAACAAAAGAGCTAGCAAGGGGCTAAAATTCAGAACTCCAGACATTTGAGACAATCCCCACACCATCTCAGGAGCGCATGAAAGAACTTACTGATTCATGGTTTATCCGAAGCCACTCTCCTAATTTAATCTCAATTTATAAACCAGGGAAAAGGCTCACATTTCCACTGGGATCCTAGTACCGCTGTATCCAGAGTGAATACATTTACTTTCACTTAACAGAAAACCAGAATAACAATAGCAAAGAAATAAGGCTTCCTTTTCCTTACATAACAAAAATCAAGGAGATGATATATAGGCCAGAACTCAACAATGGGCTGTTGCAGCCAGAGATCCAGAGTTCTAATTTTAGATTCAGCTATTTGTATTGTGCTATCTTCTTTTATAGTCACAAAAATAATTATTACATGTCCAGTCATCACACTTATGTTCAAGATAGGGAAAAGATTTGACTTACAGAATCGTAACCTCTTTGTATATCTATTTAATAATATTTTTTTAAGATCGGGAATAGAAGGGCAGGTGAGCTGGATGTGGTAGCACAAGCCTGTAATCCCAGCACTTGGGAGGCTGAAGCAAGAAGATTGAGCAGATCAAAGGCCAGCCTGGACTACAGAGGGTAAAAGAAAAGAAGGTTTAACAAAAACAGAGAAGCAACCACAATCTCCATTTTATCAGGAAGGCAAAACTCTCTTCCCCTTTTGTTTCTTGTCCCAAAGTGGGCTTTGCTGCTTCCATACTGCAAAAGGATTGTCTGTCAATCAACAAGGTCTGTGCACCACACCTGCTAGCCTGTTTGAGCCTTTAAGGCATGTTCTTTCGCTAAAGCTTTTCTTCTCTGATGTGTGATTCTAACCAGCTCCCGTGATATGCTTTGTACTGAGCTGAACTTGAAAGAAAGGAAACTGTGAGAAGAATTGCCTCATCGGGTATTAGATCTATTTGAGACTTAATCAAGACGCCAAGGCCCTTGGCTTAGCCTCCTTATGAATGCCACAGGTCAGCTGCTATCACCTCCAGCCTCACAGTTCACCTTTCCTCCCCCCCACAGAACTCTTCATCACCGACGATGAACTCAAAAAAGTACACGATTTTGAAGAACAGTGTATAGAAGAATATTTCAGAGAAAAGGATGATCGCTTTAACTCATCCAACGATGAGAGGATTCGAGTGACATCAGAAAGGTTTGTTGTTCTATGGCACATGCCTCTCACAGATACGGTTTGCTGCAGCCAATGTTACCAGTTACAGTCCCCGCACCTCCCACCCCCGCCGGAAAAAGGTAGATTTAGGCTAATTTTTTTTATTGTCCAAGAGATTATGGATCTTCTGAGAAGACAGACTTATTAGCCAGCATATCTAAAGATCAGAAATTCCCCAAACTTCTCCAGAAGGCAGTAGCAGTTGCTCTCCTCGATGGAAGGGGTTGGCAGATTGAAAACAGGGCTGACTTTAGACTTGAAAGAGGGTCTGCCTCAGTCACAAAGTGAGAGACCAAGCCTGTCTCGGGATTCGCCAGTAGGTTTCGGCTTCATTGAGAGCACTGAGCATCTTCTCCAGAGAAGAGCTTCATCCCACAGCCTGGTTTATCTGGGTGCTCAATATCTTCTAGACAGCAGCAAACGTCTTAGAAATCCATGAGAATAATCATCAAGGGTTTGGGGTTTCCCAAAAAAAAAAATTATTTTGTTTTTTCCCTCTTCCTGAACAATGTAAAAACAAAGAAATACAAGCAAATTTTTCCCCTCAGTGGTTATATTGACCAAATAGTTCTAAGAGCCAGTAGGGCTTTAAGAAAAATCTCCTAACTTGAGAGACGGTGGGGGGGGGGGGGGGGGGGGGCGGGTAGCCCTTTAAATGTAATAAGCCTTGTGATTGCCAAATGCTCTTACATTTTTTTTCTCACTTTTCATGTTTGTCTTTTTCTTTTTCTTTCTTTTTTTTTTTTTTTTACCAGTCCTGGAGCTTGAACTCAGGGCCTGAGCACTGTCTCTGAGCTTCCTTTTGCTCAAGGCTAGCGCTCTACCATTTGAGTCACAGTACCACTTCTGCTTTTTCTGTGTATGTGGTACTGAGGAATCAAACCCAGGGCTTCATGCATGCCAGGCAAGCACTCTACCACTAAGCCACATTCCCAGTCCACTTTTCATGTTTTCTGTAGACTAATACAAACTTTATTCCAGGCTACTGCATTTGAAACCCAGCACTTGGGGACTGCTGTTTGAAAGAATACTCAAGAGTCACAAAGCATTGGTATAGCTTTGCATTTTAATCATTTACAACATAAATATGCCAGAAGCAACTTAAAAATAGTGTAGAAAAATATAACCGCTTGATTACTAGAGCCAATATGACTCAGGCTTTTAAGAATGGAAACAGTTATCTCTAGTTTTCATGAGATACCATTTTGTTTGCTTATCTACTTCAGATAGTCTCTACAAACTCTTCAGAAATCACATAAATGGTAGTATATACTTTTTGGTCCCTAGCTCTTTATTTCATTAAAGAATAAAGTCCAGGTAAGTAGATATATTTCCATATGGATCCACAGATACCAAACCAATATTAATACAGTTGACAGCCATGCACAGATTTACACACATCTGTCACCACAAAATAGAGCGTTTTATGATGATAGGAGGTGGAGTAATTTTCTGGCAAACAAAAGAAGGAGCTGCGAATCTGAAAATGTCTCTCGTTCTGAGGCTTATTTATTAATAGACATATAGCCAGGTGGTTCCCAGTAAATTGTGCCACATGGACCCATTACCATTGCTCAGACATATTTCCACAAACATATGTCTTACGGGCCTTTGAAGGGCTCTTTGGGAGTAAAGAACGGTAGGAAGGAGTGTTAAGCAGCCAAGAAGGTTCTACCTCTAGGAAACTGCAGTGAAGAGGGGCAGACACCAGCACGTGTAGAAATATTGCAACCATGTCAGCAGTTCCTTCAGAGAAAGCCAAGAAAGACCTGTGATACCCGCACTGGGACTCGCTCCATGTCTGTAAATCCTTCGAGACCACTTTGTCTCCGAGGCAGGGTGATTCCTACAGCCTACGACAGAGTGCACGCTCCCCTCCCTTCTCTCTATCCTGGGAATTATTCTTACCCTCCAGAATAATGGGACTTAATTGCATGACCTCACTACCCAACCCAAACACCTAAGCCCAGGCCTCATGCTACTTGGGTGGCCTCTGCCTGTTTGTTTTGGTTTGTTTTGGTCTTTTTTTTTTACTTTGGTCTTGTTGGGTGTTTTACATTTATATCCCCCCAAATAATCTTTCTTTTTGGGGGGGTGGTCCGGTCATGGGGCCTGAACTCTGGGCCTGGGCGCTATCCCTCAGCACTTCAGATCAAGGCTAGCGCTCTACCACTTGAGCCACAGTGCCACTTCCAGCTTCTTTCTTTTTGTTTTTTTGGTGCTGAGGAATCGAACCCAGGGCCTCGGGCATGCAAGGCAAGCGCTCTACCACTAAGCCACCTTCCCAGCCCCCAAATAATCTTTTACTACCGAAATTGCAACCAATAAAGCAGAAATAGCATGGGGCATACCAAGTCAGAGATGAGGGAGCTATATAGCCCATTTCGCATGTCCTTCCTGAGCGGTATGGCAAGAGGCATAATTTATCCTGTGCATTCTTGAAAAGGGTAGGGAAGGAAGGGCGAAGAATACAAAGGGACGGAAAAAGGGACATGTGTCAGTGTGTACATAATACGCCAAACTCTGGATAGAGCCATAGATTGAATTTACCCATGTACAAATCCATACAGAATATAGAATACTGCATCACTCTCTGTACGTTAGACAACCTTAAAACAGAGATTTGACATCAGGAACGCTAAAAGTTTCTCCCAGCTTGCCAGCACATATCATCTCCATCTTTCCAGAGCCCTAATATGATCACGTCCTGAGTTATTCTGAAGTGAGTCACTCCAAGTGTAGAAAGATGAGAGAAGAAAGCTAAATAAAGTGTTCTTCCCACTGAATGTCTTTATTTTGCATAATGCTTTTTTTTTTTTAATTCCCATAGTCACGATAAGTTTCTATCTCTTTGGGCATCCTAATTGATCCACTGTATCTTCTAAGTTATTTGGTCAAAATCATTTCTGAGTGGCCACAATCAAAGCACTTGGTGACTCCTCAGGCCTATTTACAGCTAGCATGCATAGCTATTTACACTGAACTTTTCAAGAAAATGTTTGAAAGATTAAGAAAAGCAGTCCCTTACTGAACAAACATCATGTTGACTCCTGACTTATTATTCTTTATAGTTCCTACCTTAAGACCCTATAAGTTAAATCCATGACCTAAATGACAGTTAGGTGCTAGTTAAATATACCCAAATGGAAAACACCAATCATGATTGCTTTTGGCAAGATTTGCATTCCACTCCACCTCTAAGCCATAGGAATGTTAAGTGTTATCCCAGATGAGTTCCTCAGGCTGGTAATTATGTTGCCCACTTATAATTCCAGCAACCAGGAAGCTGAAGCAGAAGGACTCAGGATCAAGGCCAGCCTAGACCATGCATAGTGAGTTAGAAGCCAAGCTGAGCACAAAACAATACATAAATAATAAATTCTAAACTCAAAACAGTGGCAACAAAAATGAATAGATTATATTAGGCTTTTCTCCTCTTCCCATTCCCTCAAACCATGCTACTATACTCTTAGCGCTTCTATCAGACTCCTCCTAGCTGTCCCTGCAGACCTTTCTCCTGTTGAACCCCTCAAACCACACCCGGTTTTGTATCATCTAATGTGTCTCATGTCCAAGTCTTACCTGCTAGTTTTCCCTATGATCCTGGATCCTATGCTTGAGGCAGGCGGGGTGTGGAAAGGAGATACCACTCAGTTCTTGGACGTGATCACAGACACACACGTGTACTAGAGAAACGTCTTCATCTCTGTAGAATATTAACCTTGTCTACACTGGATTCCAGAAAAAACTAAAAAAGGAACTAAACTGGTCTTTTTGGGTTTTTTTGGTACTCTTCTGGCACTGACCCAGTGTCTAGAGTATGCTATCACCAGAGAGATTAAAAACCACTCAAGTCAGTCAGATACGGTCATACGCCTGTAATTCAGGCAACTCTGGAGGCTGGGTCGAGAGCATCACTTGAGTCAGGGAGTTGAAGACCAGCCTGAGCAAGGCAACTTACCTCTTTCTCAAAATAAAAATAAAATCACTAGGTCTGATCACATCAGAAGTCATTTCTTGCACACACACACACACACACACACAAACACACACACACAGATCTCTCTTCCCCATCCCCTCTGTCTGCCCATGCCCCTCACTTTTTCCTTGGCCAACAGATCTAGGATGGCTCTCGAAACACAGAGCTCCCAGAGATGTGAGCACACCTTAGATGCGCTCTGCCCTTATAGAGGCCAACTTGAGTGACTCTCATTTCCCCCTCACACAGGGTAGAGAACATGTCCATGCGGCTGGAGGAAGTCAACGAGCGAGAACACTCCATGAAGGCTTCGCTCCAGACCGTGGACATCCGGCTGGCGCAGCTTGAGGACCTCATCGGGCGTATGGCCACAGCCCTGGAGCGCCTGACGGGTCTGGAGCGAGCGGAGTCCAACAAAATCCGCTCGAGGACCTCCTCAGACTGCACCGATGCAGCCTACATCGTCCGCCAGAGCAGCTTCAACAGCCAGGAGGGGAACACCTTCAAGCTCCAAGAAAGTATAGACCCTGCAGGTGAGGAGACCATATCCCCAACTTCTCCAACTTTAATGCCCCGTATGCGAAGCCATTCTTTCTATTCAGTCAATATGAAAGACAAAGGTGGTCTAGACAAGTTGGAAAGTATCTTTAAAGAAAGGTCCCTGAGCCTACACCGGGCCACTAGTTCCCATTCAGTAGCAAAAGAATCTAAAACTCCTACAGCCCCTGCAAACACCTTGGCCATTGTTCCAGATTCCAGAAGACCATCGTCGTGCATAGACATCTACGTGTCTGCCATGGACGAGCTCCACTGTGACACAGACCCTCTGGACAGTTCCGTGAACATCCTCGGGCTGGGTGAGCCGAGCTTTTCCGTTCCAGCACCTTCCACAGCCCCTTCAAGCAGTGCCTATGCCACCCTGGCACCCACAGACAGACCACCGAGCAGGAGCATCGATTTCGAAGACATCACCTCCATAGACACTAGATCTTTCTCTTCAGATTACACCCACCTTCCAGAATGCCAAAACCCCTGGGACTCGGACCCCCCAACAGGTCCCACCATTGAGCGCTCCAAGAGTAGCCGCTACTTGGCCACCACGCCCTTTCTTCTAGAAGAGGCCCCCATGGTGAAGTCTCACAGCTTTATGTTTTCCCCTTCGAGGAGTTATTATGCCAGCTTTGGGGTGCCCATGAAGACAGCAGAATACACAAGCATTACGGACTGTATCGACACCCGGTGCGTCCATGCCCCGCAAGCGATCGCCGACAGAGCCACCTTCTCCGGAGGAGGTCTGGGAGACAAAGTGGAGGACTTAACATGCTGTCATCCCGAGCGAGAAGCAGAACTGAGTCACCCTAGCTCTGACAGTGAAGAGCACGAGGCTCGAGGCCGAAGGGCTGTCCTGGCTGTGTCCTCCCAGGAGGGTGACATTTCCGACAGAACCCTGGCCAACAACATCACAGTTCCCAAGATTGAGCGAGCCAACAGCTACTCAGCAGAGGAGCCAAGCGCGCCATATGCACACACCAGGAAGAGCTTCTCCATCAGTGACAAGCTCGACAGGCAACGGAACACAGCAAGCCTACGAAATCCCTTCCAGAGGAGTAAGTCCTCCAAGCCTGAGAGCCGAGGGGACAGCCTGTCCATGAAGAGACTGTCCAGAACATCGGCTTTCCACAGCTTCGAAAGCAAGCACAACTAAATCTTCTTACTGTGTGTTGCAGGAGGCTCGAGAAGCTAGCCCGAAAATTCTTCCCCAAATGTCACCTCTCCCCCCCCATGACCTCCACCCCCCCCCACCCACCCACTCTGCTTGAATCATTTCACTTTATTCTTAGCTGAACAAAACAAGCAATGCATTAGGGAGATGTTCCCACCAAGGTGACTTCTGGGCCTCAGACCCAGTGCCAAACACAAGGGGAGTTAAAGCATGTTCACACCTGTTGGGTAGGGAGGGGAAGATAGGGGAGTAGCAAGGGTAGAGGTGAAGGTGTATTGCCAGTTACTACAGAAAAGCCATGAGCTCTAGGGGGTTCAAACACTCACCATGCCAGGAGGCATCTTATGATTATGAGGATTTTTTTTTCTTTTACTCATTATCAAGAGTTGAGAATGCAGAGCTGAATTGCAAAATAAAATAAAATAGCCAGCATACAAAATGAGATATTCTAAACTTCAATTCTGTTTTCTTTTCGCATTCGCTCCACCACTGGTGACTGATGAAGAGCATCCTTTTTATTCAGTATAAACCGGCAGCAAGCAGTTCTACCTAACGCCTCACATGCTTCTCAGGCCAACACTTCTGTAATTGGTCATTATAAAGAAAAAAACAAGGTAACAGTCAAAGTTCACCTGTCTCTTCTCTATTCACTTCTGGTGCCACAACTGTTTGATCTTTTTCTTTTTTTTTTTTCTTGTGAAGAAAACAAGGGAACAGAAATGCCTTTTTTTGGTCTTGCAATCAAAATGAATGAAGTGTTGATGTGAAAAAACAAAGTCATGTGATTTATTCTAGACAACTCCAGTAGAGTCAAGCAAGCTCAGGATGAATGTAATTAAATAATTTTATATTTTTAAATTTATCTTCTATCTCACCTGTCCACAGTGAATTCACTCATGAATAGATAATATTGAACTTACAATGCTAAGTGGGTAAAATGAACCTAAAACTGCCATGTGAGATAGTGTCGTATTCTCACCATTCATTATGTGTGTGATGCTGCTCTCTGGCCTTCACCATTTGCATGATTCCACCGTGTCCTCGGCACCTTCAATGAGTAACTGCCAATTGCTCGTCACATGTCATTTTGTATATGACACATGGTTGAGTGTGGATATTTTCATACCTAGAGTTTTGCCATCTAAGCTGAGCGCAGCATAAATTTAAATTGGAGTTTTTCAAGGGCTGGTATCTTTTCTATGGAAATGTTCCAAAGCACTTTTTAAGGAAGTTTCAAAACCATAAATAACCTTAGAAATGACTTGGAGTTTGGTATCAACCCAAAGCCATCCGTGGCAGGCATACCGTGAATATTTTTTCTTATGTACAGAGCTATTAAAAAAGAGATACACTAGATCAAAATAGAAAGCAAATAAAGCATATAAAGAGTTCTATAGTATATGCTGCTTACATTCATGTACATTTACACAGAGACACATGTTTATATATAGTATATAAACAGACATAGAGAGCTTTCTTAAGAGGCTTGGACTTTTTTACCACCTGGAGGTATTTTTAATATCCACTGAAAAAGTTGATTATACTATCTATTAGACCAACTATTGCAATTATGATTTTTTTTAAATCTGTCACCTTAACTTCTCCTTCTACCAAATGAGTTGCTTAAATGATTTCACCACCCGCCCGTGTCTGGCCCCTTTTTGTCTGAAGGAACTCAAGTGTAATGACACCCATGGTATGCTGGTTCTTCCTACCCAAAACTATTACCCACTTACAATTGAAATACACATGCCATTCTAAACCAGTTAGCATTATAGATTTAAATTAAAATAAACACATCTTAGCCAGGCACTGGTGGTTCATGCCTGTAATCCTAGCTACTCAGGAAGCTGAGATCTGAGGATCGTGGTTCAAAGCCAGCCTAGGCAGAAAAGTCCATAGAGACTCTTATCTCCAATGAACTACTTAGAAGAAGCCAGAAGTGGCACTGTGGCTCAAGTGGTAGAGTGCTAACCTTGAGAATAAAGACACCCAAGGACAGTGCCCAGGCCCTGAGTTCAAACCCCAGGACCAGCAAAAAAGAGAAAAAGAAAAAGTAGAAGAGAAAAAAGTGAAAGAGAGCAAGAGAGAGAGAGAGAGAGAGAGAAATCTTGACCACCAACTCTTTAGGTTCTCATTTTTGGGTCATTGAAATTTTTAAAGGAATAAAAGACTTCTTTGAGAAAAATGATTTCATGTTTCCAGTCTAAGGTACTACCTGGCTCCTTAATTGTAGTTGTAGACGCCAAGTAATGTCTCATTTTGTAAAAATCAATAAAATGGATTGAAAAACCTCTAGCTTTTAAATTATTTTTTAAGGAACAACCTTTTCAATATAGGAAGAATGACAAGATCATGTAATCTTGTAAGGATTCCCTCTTTGCTCCTTGGTATTTACATGAGTTAGTAACACCCAACCTCTTCATTTACAATTGCCCAAGAAATAGCTCCACTTTACTGACCTCCCACATTGACGATTCTCCTCTCTGCAGACACATGATCAATCTGAGAATAAATCACCTTTCAACTTCCCTGAGCCATGAGTCCGTGTGAGGGTCTGATGAAAACTCTGCACGTATACATGACATTGCAGTATAACTGCAAAGGGTTCGTGATCCTCTCATTCCATATTGATTCACAATAAGGGAATCATCTTCAGCCGTAATCAGTATGGCTGTAGCAGGTACCTTACATCATCAGACCATTTCTCTGTGATTCTCAGGAAGGCCATGTTTCAGCACCAGATTTGAACCGAGGTCAGGCTATTTTTGTTCTTTAGTCTAGATGTGGTTAGTCCAATTTGCCCTTTGGTCCTAAAGTTTGGATGAACTGTAAGTAGGGAGGTCACTCAAAGCCAAAGGCTTCCTAAGAGTGTCTATAGAGGAACCCAAGAAGGAGCTAGAAACCATTATTCTTTAGCCATAGAGCAGGACATCAAGCAGCTCCAGGGACGTGTTGGAACAGACTGCAAACGAGGGAAAGGAAGAGAAAAGAACACAACCTAGGAAACTGATCTTGTGGCTACCTGGCTCAGTGATTGTGCATGACAATTAAATGATCACACGTTCGATGCAGTGTGTGAAATACACAAGCCAAATTAAACTGACTTTAGACACAAACTGTGTGACTCTCACAAGCCATCTCTTCCCTGTGCACATGCGTGGATGTTTTTTTCCAACCCCATCTCCCCTCCCCTGCCATTTCTGGGTTCTCTGCACACCATCGTGACATTGATTCTGTGGCCTTGTACAGTCAGCTCGTGCTGAGCTCCTGTGTTCCTCGAGGTTCCCGATCGAGGGGACGTTAATTACCCGCCTCTGTGAATTAAGCAGTTCAGAGCAGCAAGCTATCGAGGACCATAAATATAGAGCTCAAGAAGTAAGAGCTTCAGTCTAATCATCTGCTTTCGGAGGTGCCAATTTTTATATACTAATATACGTAATGATTTGTTCCAAGTTGCTTGTTCCTTTGCATCAAAAGAAAAAAAAGGAAATTAAGGATGTTTTAGGAGAATGACCATAGCAGTTTCCTGATTAACCCATAGACTTTATCGTTAGAGACACCCCGACCCCCTCTTGATGGCTTTGGATGGAGAGCTGTAATGCTAGAGTACAATTGTCATGGCTAATTTGTGTACTTCTGCAAGCCAAACTGTGTATCAACAGCACTTTATGGACTGGAATTTTTTAATCTATGCTTATAGGATCAGGCTATTGTTCAGCACTTTGAAAGCCCCTCCCCTTTTACATATATATGTCTATATATATGTAAGAATAATGCAGTGGGAGAAATGTATTCTTAAAAACACAAAATGTGTTTCTTCTGAATGTTGCAAATGTATTCTAAAACATGGTTCCTATAGATATTATGGTAGATAACTGGATAGTACTTGTTTTCCTCTTTCAGAGGCCGTTCAATCTAGTCACCTTGAATGTATGGGCTGTTTGATTTCTTTAAAGATAATAACTATTATCCAGTCATCCATCATGCTATATCTGTAGACTATACTATACAGTATGTTGGGCAATGCTGTATTATAGAACACATGTAAACATATATGTAACCTTGTGTTTAACCCAGCAATAGTTGTAGCATGTGATCGTATTAATGAACGTTACAGGATGGCTTTATAATCATTTCTAAATCTGTAACATTCAATAAAGAAGCACATGTTGCAAGAATTCATTATGTTCTCAATTCCATGTTATTTAGCATCCTCGTGAAGGGGGCATTTTTGTTCCTGATTGGCTTTCTGTTTTTTGACCATTTCTTCAGACCACTGTAAAATATTTCTGTGAGTTTCTGTATGTCCTTTCGAAGTCCTGCCAGCTCTGATAGGCACGTTGTGGTTGTGTGAAAGATGAACTGGCATGTTATGCCAAAGACTGTATGACAGATGAACTTAAAAGTCACATTTTTAAACTCCAGTTGAATTAGCTGTTTGTTTACAACTGCTGCCCCAATGTGGAAGCAGTGTACAGTATCTTATAAATATGTTCATTCAGTAACACTCTGCTGTTTCTTGATAAAGTGATGCTAGTGTGTAGGTGGTTATATACTTGGCCTAGATATTGCATTATATAATTCACTATCCTTTACCAATAACAATGTGACTGAAATGAAGTGGTCTCTCTCCAAACCTAGTCTTAGTTTTGTGTTCACAAAATTGCATGAACTGCCTTCTGCATTTCTTTTCTGACTTTTCTGAAGCACTTAACTTTTTGCTATTGCCTGCTGTGATGTTTAAACCGGTAAGGAACTCATTCAAATTGTTGAGCTTCTTACACTGGAAATAACGTTCTGTTTTTAAAAATTAAAAACAGATAACCAAGGGGATTTTTCCCATCTTTTTTTAAAGCTCTGAACAAATAGTGTGAAATATAGCATCCATACACAAGCTGCATAGCTTCGGGACTCAGGCAGAGCAAGCCAGTGGGACTTTGAATTCCCAAGATCTAGGTGTTAGGGCCTCTGTGATACAAGAAAGACACATTTATGATTCTTTGGGGCTGCTGGGTGCTAAGTTGCTAAACCTCAGATGCAAATGAACAGTCTGTTTGAGATGGAGCAGACCACCAGAAGTGAGTGGCCTCAAAACACACCATGTAATCTCTCTCCCTATCTTGTAGCTTTCTTACCTAGTCAGTAAGCCTGGCCTAGAGAGGGGAGGTTAATGATTGGGTATCTGATGGAGTACCCGATGTCTCTGAAGAATGTTTTCTTTAAAATTACCCACCCCATTCTTAGAAGCCATTCAACATCTGGAAAGAAGCAGCGAGTGCCTTTCGAGCCTTGTAAATGACCCAAACAAATGGGGGTAACTTTTTTCTTCAGCCTGCTTTGACCTAAGCTTTCTTTTCCTTTGACAAATTGCCATTCTGTGTCAGATTGAACTCAATCCAAGAAGATACTCATTCTGGTTTCAACGAAACAGGATTGTTTCCTTGCTAACATGAAATTTATTTCAGAGGATATTAGGATATTGGTGTTGTTTTGCTCTGATGATTTCCTGGTATTTAGCACTAGTAATAAAATCACAGTGCGACAATCTCTATATGTTGTCCAAGAGCAGGTTTATGTGGCCACATGATCCGCATGCCAATAAACAAAACCACTGAGGTTAA